GGATTTGGGAAGAAATTTAGAAAGAGAAAGGAAAAATGTGTATGAAACTAGGTGAAATATAGACATATTTTATTCATATTTAACCTACCTTTTCTATTTTCCTTTCCAAATCCCTCCTCAAATTCCTTAACCAAACACAGTATTAGTGTATTTTTCTCAAACGTGACAATGACACTCTAAAAAAATAAAAAATAAAAATTCATTAGTATACTTTTCTCAAACGTGAAAACGTAGCGGGTATGATGTGACATTTTAAAAAATTAAAAACTCATTAGTATACTTTTTTCAAACGTGATAGGTGACATTTGACACTCCAACGTAGCGGGTATGATGTGACACTTTAAAAAAATTAAAAACTCCTTAGTGTACTTTTTCTAAATATGACACTCTAACGTGACGGGTCAGGTAATAAGTAGGGAGAGTGTTCTGTGTGTCACGTGCAATGCATCAACCCACAAAGCAAAAAGTATAAAATGCCTTAGTGTACTTTTGTGTTGTGTGTCACCCAACCATGCACATAACATGGCAAGTTTTAAGCATACACCAAATAAAAACCTTACATAAAATAGTCCATGATTAATCCAATGGCACTTGTGTCTTTTTCACAATAGAGAGGACCAAATGGATCACAAGAAAAGAACTGGGACTAAATGGAACACAAGATCAAAATTTAGGATTTATGGGTAACTCCCCTAAAATGTATTTACATTTTATCTAATTTCACATACTTTTTTTCTTTTCATTTTCAAATTCTTTCTCAAATTCCTCAACTAAATACATGTACCGACTCATTGGGGATGCAAGTTCTACACCAGGCACCTTGCAAGCGCATTAGTTTGTGAGCAGTAAGACAATCAGGGTATATTCTTATCGTATTACTTAGGTTGGCCCTTGGGCTTATTCCATGAGATATGTACCACTTATGAAGCTGACTTCTTGAAAAGATGACAAGTGCCCAGTCCGTGTTAATGACCAATCGAAGCTCTATTATACTTGAAACGAAAGTAGAACCCTAGCAACACATGTCTGGTGTTAGCCTAAGGTGCTCCAAAAATCAATTTAAACAAAATGGGTAGGTGATGACGCCATGACGTGCTTAGATGTGGTTCAATATTTTCTACTCTTCTCAAGCCTCCACATGTTCTTCTAACAGTAGTACATTTATAACGGCTTTTATCAGTTTGTACCAGCTAGGTTCAACGGTTAACCTCTAGCCTTTATTACTTTCTAAAACCCCCAAGTCAGATAAGGTTGATAGATTTTGATCATGATATATATTTATGAAAAATGTTTTATAGCTCGAAAAACTTCCCCCCGAATGGCCCGAATTGCTGAAACGACGTCGTTTTGAGATTGAATTTTTTTTTTCTTTTCCTTCTTTCCTCAGAGTCAACTCTATTCGAGCCCTTAATCTCTTCCAAATCCTCTCATCTCTGTCTACTCACTCTCTCATCGCAAATCCTCTCATCTTTGTCTACTCACTCTCTCCTCGAGCCCTTAATCTTTTCCAAATCCTCTCATCAGCTACGGGTGTGGACTCACATAACAGATCTTCAGCTACGGGTAGGGGTGTGCATAATACCGCCAAAACCGCCAAAACCGCACCGAGCCGCACCGCCAAGGCAAATTTGTTATTATTTGCCAATCGAACCGCCGGTTTTTGGTAAGAAAAATGACAAATTCTAGTGACACTTTTATCAATCTGCCGGTTTCTATTTTTCTTCCAAACTGCACCGACTCGCACCGCTATTAAATCATGTTTTATAAGATTCTAAAAATTCTTTTTTACTTAAGTTTGCTTGTTGTTCTATACCTTAGAATATAGTATTACATTACTGCTCGAGGGGAATTCAAGATGTCAGTAATCCAAAATAAAGTTGGATTCCAATTCACTTTTCAATCTTTTTTTTTTTTTTTTTCTAGCCATGTTGCAAACTTGTATCAGCTCACTTTTCAATCTAAATACTTTTCAACAGTAAACATTTTCAATATATTGTAAATCCTGAATGATATTAATTTTATGTATTGTATTTGATCATTGTAGCTTCCATTGATGCTTGTAATGAACTAATGGCATAGTCGTTCATATTATCATGTTGTTGCTACACTTGCTGCATCAAAAGAAAGCTTCACAAGATGCTTAACATCACGGTATCTCTCGTCTTTTTTTGACTCTTTGATTTAAGTTTTGTAATTTGAATTATATTTTTTATAAACCGCCAATCCGCCCGAACCGCCAAGGCAAATCCGCCATTATTTGCCAACCGAACAGCCGGTTTTTGATAAGGAAAATGGCAAATTCTAGTGACACTTTTATCAATCCGCCACCCGCCATACGGTTTCTATTTTTCTCTCAAACAGCACCGACCCGCACCGCGCACAGCCCTAGCAATGGGTGTTGATTCGTATACGGCAGTGTCGACTAGCAGAAAAAAATGTAGCACAACCAAAAACTAGGGTATGTGTTTCTGTTTGATTGCTAAGAAAAAAATATTTGAAATTTGTGTTAGGCCTTTGGTTTTGGCTTGAATTTGTAGAACATGTTTTCCAGATTCCTCAATTATTGATTATTAGGGTTATGATTGTTTGTCAGGGTTTGGGTATTATGGGTTTTGCCTTCAATTTTTGATTGTTATGTTGATTTTGATTGGCCATTATGCTGATTGTTTGGGCATTATGGGATATGTGTTGATTGAGTTAGACATGAGTTAATAGGATTGATGAGGTTTTGATGTCTCAATTTGAGGTTTGGACATACTAGTTAAAGTCTCATATTAGAGCTTGGAATTTTGGAAATGTAGAAAGTTCATGATTCATTTTGGTTTTGATTTACTGTTCTTGTCAAAGTAACAAGTTTAGCTAAGCACAAGCAGTTACGAATTAGAAACAGTTCAATGTTGCCTTGAGTTAAAATCTATGGCTTAATCTAATATGTTTACTAATCTATATATATATATATATATATATCTTATATTGCAGCAAATGTTTTGAGTTTTTCAATATGTTTTCTTTTTCTTTTTCTTTTGCATATGAAAGTTTCCATGCATGTTTTTCTACCTAATTTTTTGGTCAACCAATTTACCCAATGGCCCTTGAACCCTAATCTCATTCTCAGCCCAGATATTCATCTAAAAGCTCATCTCTAAGTGTCTAGTTGATTGGTTGAATTATAGTATAAAATTGGAATTATTAATTCATAGGGCTGGCCCTGAGTTATTAGGGCCTAAGGCAAATTTTTTAAATTAGGTATGCTCAAGCTGTTCTAGCAATAATAGCTATGTATGTATCATGTCTCTATTTTCCATTTTGTATGCAGATTACAAAATGGCTTCTTCCTCTAGTAACAATAGCAACATAAGATTGAAACCAAGATTGTGTGATTGTGGGAGAACAACTGCCATACACATTGTCCGAACCAATCAGAATGGAAATAAAGGGCGTGTGTACTATGTGTGTCCATCAAAATATGTAAGCAGTATGGAAGTTTGTTTGCAAATTTATTAGCCTGATTTGATTAACTGATTGTCATGCATTGTAGATTAGTGAGGAACACTGTAATTACTTCAAGTTCGCAGATGATGATGACGACGACGTGATCTCCAATGCTGCACCTCGTAAATCTATAAGAAGCGAAGAATTTAACGATCTAAGCACAAGGGTTTATGAGATGGATAATGAATTTCAGGAGCATGGTAGAAGGCTTCGAAGGATGGAGAAGAAATTGAATGTCATGCTTTATGTCATTGTATTTTGTATTGTTTTCTATTTTATAATGTAAACTACTGAGTTGATAGCTTTTGGGAAATTTGATGGATGTACTTATGGATTGAATGGACTTGATAACTTGAATGGACTTCTATTTTCAATTATTGTTGATAGGTTGAATTTCTTGTTGAATTTCTTGAATGGACTTCTATGGATTGAATGGACTTGAATGGACTTCTATTTTCAATTATTGTTGATAGGTTGAATTTCTTGTTGAATTTCTTGAATGGACTTCTATGGATTGAATGGACTTGAATGGATTTGATAACTTAAATGGACTTATATTTTCAATTATTGTTGATAGGTTGAATTTCTTGAATGGACTTCTATGGATTGAATGGACTTGTTGATAGTTCAATACCAGATATGTTGAATTTCTTGAATTTCTATAATGGACTTGTTGAATTATGATGTCAAGGTGAAGGAGCTAAGTGGAGACCAGACTCTTACTCGCCAACAAATTGAAGAAACCCATATTATTGTCACAACTCCGGAGAAGTGGGATATCATAACCCGCAAATCAGGAGATCGCACCTATACACAGCTTGTAAAACTTCTTATCATTGACAAGATTCATCTTCTACATGATAATAGAGGACATGTTTTGGAAAGTATTGTTGCAAGAACTGTTAGGCAAATTGAAACCACAAAAGAGCATATTCGTTTGGTTGGTTTGTCTGCTACACTGCCTTACTATGAGGATGTGGCATTGTTTTTGCGAGTTGATTTGAATAAAGGACTCTTTCATTTTGACAATAGTTACAGACCTTGTCCTCTTGCCCAACAATATATTGGAATCACAGTAAAGAAGCCACCGCAGAGATTCCAGTTGATGAATGATGTTTGTTATGAAAAGGTTATTGATATAGCAGGAAAGCATCAGGTTCTTATTTTTGTTCACTCAAGGAAAGAAACAGCAAAAACTGCCCGTTCAATTAGAGATGCTGCACTTGTTAATGACACTCTTGGCAGATTTTTGAAAGAGGATAGTGTGAGCCGTGAAATACTGCATAGCCATACAGAGCTGGTAAAGAGCAATGATCTTAAAGACCTATTACCATATGGCTTTGCAATTCATCATACAGGGATGGCTAGGGCTGACCGCCAACTTGTTGAGGTTCTATTTTCTGATGGACATGTGCAAGTGTTGGTTTCCACAACAACCCTAGCTTGGGGTGTCAATTTCTATAATGGAGTTGGCCATTCATGTTAGAAAGTCAAGAGATTTAGACACTTCAAATCTGATTCTGAATCTCCACCAAGGAGGGCATGGATGTTCTCAACCTGCAGATGTTCTCAATCTCCAGCAAGGAGTGCATGGCTAAACTAAGGACTGACCAAAGTGTAAAACATATCAAATTTCATATAAGGAAATGTATTTGTGTATGCAATTGCTACAAATATAAATATGTTCAAGTACACAGCCCAAAAAAAACAGAGCAATCCAAAATCAAACTGTTGATTTTCTTATCCCAAATACAAGGTGTGTATAAGGATTATATGAAACATGTGTTCCTTTTTCACTATACAATCAAGCACTTCCTCTGCTTCATTCTGCTTGTCATTCTACTTCATATGCTGCATCATTCTACTTGTCATTCTACTTCATTCTGCTTTATTTTGCTCAACCTGTCATTCTGCTTCAAACAATCAACCTGTCATTCTGCTTCATTCTGGTGAACCTGCTTCATTCTACTGAACCTACTTCATTCTGCTGCTTTATTCTGCTGTGCTGCTTTATTCTGGACTGCTCAATGCTTCTTTCAGTCTAGACTGCTTCAATCAACCTGCTTAAATATAACCTGTTCAAAACCAGATTAACCTGTTCAAAATATACAGAACTTGTTCAGAACCTGAAATTCAACTTGACAGAACCTGTTCAAAATCTATTCAAAATCAAATATAACCTATTCCGAATCTGTTCAAAACCTGTTCAGAATCAAATATAACTTGTTCCGAATCTGTTCAAAACCTGTTCAGAATAAAAAATACTATAGCTTTACAAACATAAGTTCACAATTTGGGGCTATTGGATCCAAATCTATATTGAAGTCCACAAAAGTAACAATCCCAGTTTACAAACGAAAGTGATAAATATGATAGTACGAAACTAAAAAAAAAATGGAGCGTTTGGATCCACATCTATATTCAAGTCCACAAAAGTTGAACCATCTAGATTCGCCATTCCTGATTCACTGAAAGATGAGCTTCTAATTTTGTCCACCATTTGCAATGCGCTCTCTTGTGTCCCATCCATACAAGGAAAATAATAGGATTGACCTCGCGGCACCTTATGATACATAATAACAAAATATCATTAATAAGTTCAAACATAATGTAATAAATACCATACAAAAAATTGTACTGGACCATGAAACACATACCCGCTCGTACGTATTGTCTTCCATGCCATCCGTACAACCGAAATTCAACTTACGAGGTTCACATTGACCCATCTTACGACCCTGTAGTAACACACATTGGTGAAAAAGTTTGACAAAAATAAATTCTGAAATTTACATACAAGCAGAAAATAAAAATTATACCTGGACTTTTGGTGCCTTTTTATTCTTTCCTTTCAACCGACTCACTATTTCGTCCACCTTGCTCACCTTCCGTTTCATACATGGACGGCCTCTTCGGCGAGCAACCAAAGGACTAAGCACCTTGCGAGTAGTACTAGAAGGTGGCACATAACTATTACAAGGTGGGACAATTCTACTAGCAGGTGGCATATTACTCGCACAACCAGATTCATATTTTCTTACTCTTTCCTTGATTTCTCTCAACCCAAGTTGAATGGCTTTGTGTTTATTATCATCGTTGGAAGCAATTTCTATAATTTCATCCAATGTCTTGTGGTAGTTATCATGTACCTTTGCATTGAGGGCAGCCCCGAATTTCGTGTATGTCGTTGGAATGCATGTGTACCCTCTTTCCAAATCTTTTCTCCATCCTGGCATAATGTACTTATCTGGAACCTCATATATGCACCTCTCAATGAGCACACTAAGGGAATGGGCACATATGATCCCCCTAAACTCAAACCACCGACACACACATTGCATTTCAAGTTCAGTTGAACTAAAGTATACAACAAATTCAACTTTCTTCATTTTGTCACCCACAAGCACAGCTTCCTTGACATGATAAGTACAAATGGATCCGTCCTCCTTCACAAGAGTCGCATGACAATACAGTAGTCGCTTCAATTCTACTTGAACTTCTTTAAATTTCGCATTTGTGTAGGCTGCACGAAATTGCTTCTCAAACTCATACACCGTTAAGCAATCATACAATTTGTTTCGAGATTTGAAGTATGCTTTGGTCTCCTTCTCCACCTTACTTCTCAATGCATTGTCATATTGTTCAACAAATTACTTTAAAGTAATCTTTGAGTTTACATAGCCATCAAAAAATGCATTCATGCTCTCATTTCGCTATGTAGTTGAAATGCCAGCCCAAAATATATCTTTCATATAGGTAGGAATCCACCTATGTCGCTCACCATATAATACCCCCAACCACTCGTTGTCATGAAGGCTAAACTTTTCAATCATCATTTGCCATTCCTTATCAAATTCATCTTTTCCGAAAGAATCATAGACTGCATTTTGTAAAGCGAATTTGATGGCTTCATATTGGGAATATCCTCTCAATTTCTCAGGTATTTTCTTCATTACATGCCATAAACACCAATGATGTTGAGCCTGTGGGAAGACAATTTGTATGGCATTTTGCATGGCCCTGCATTGGTCAGTTATAATAGCTTTTGGAGGAGTGGCTGACATGCAATTTAACCATTCTTTGAATAGCCAAACAAATGTGTCTGTGTTCTCATCAGATAATAGCCCATAACCAAACAAGATTGACTGACCATGGTGATTAACTCCTACAAACGGAGCAAACGGCATATCATACTTGTTTGTGAGATAGGTAGTGTCAAATGAGACAACATCCCCAAATGCTTTATAAGCCGCCCTACTCCTTGCGTCTGCCCAAAACAAGTTTCGTATGCGACCATCTACATCAAAGTCAATTGCAGAATAGAAGTTTGAATTTTCTTGCTGTATCCTATGAAAATAAGATGCAACTGATTCGGCGTCTCCTACCCCAAGCCTCAATCTTCTAGCATTTTGAATGTGGTTCCTTGCATCTCGTTCATCAAATGCTAATGCCTCATATCACCCCGCTTCAACAACTATAGAATGAAAATTTCTAGACACCCCTATTCCGGCTTCATCGTTTATTTCAAATCTTCTCTTCACAGGAGTACGAATCCTCTTATTCATTGGAAAATAGCGTGAGTCGCTAGGAATTAAATCATGCGTATGCTCAAGCACAACTGTAGTTAACTTATATCTTCCATCCGGTTGTAAAGTCGCTCTTACCTTAGCTTTACAATCAATTTTTGATGACAAAGATGGTTTCAAGGGGTTTACTTCTGATCTTTTTGTCCTTTTTTGCGCCCGAGTATATTCAATTCCAAAGTATTTCACCTTTTCATCTGCTCCAACATTCTGTGTTCTGTAAGCTGTTGCAAATCCAAGATTTTAGCATATTTTGCATAAAACTCGTGCACTTCTTGCTTTGAGGTAAAACACATCCCCTTTTTAGGTTCTTCAATTTCACCACTCTCATTTAATGAAGGATTGTTCTCTGTTTCCTCAACTTCCTCACCCCCACTCAATGTAAGATTGTTTGAATCAATGTCCATTGTGTGAAACACTCTACTGTAATTTGTATAAAATCAGCAGAACGAAATGCACAATAAATCATAAATAAGGTTAGAGACATCACAGATTCGCAGATTCAAATTCAGTGACGTTAAACACCATTTACATTCAGATTCAGACATCACAGATTCAGAGATTCACGTATTTACATAAATAAGGTTCAAGTGGATGTTAAACACCACTTAGAGACATCACAGATTCAATGAGTACATCACAAATATAACCACTACAGATTTAGACACATCACAGATTCACCTATAGAATAACAAGGCAACTGCAACTTTGTATACATCACACATGCCAAACCATATTCGACTATAGACAGATTCAAACCACAGTTTGTATACACACAGATTCAGCAAATTTAGATTTCACTTCAACAAGAGCAAACATAGACCCCCAAACATATTTTTTAATTGAAATCATCTACCCACATAGACCCAAACATGGATAACCATTCTTCTAATCCCCCACATTCAGATTCAGGTGAGTAAAAACAAAAAAATTTATAACTTGACGGACCAGATTTAGATTCAGATGAGTGAAATATTGACGGAGTGGTATTTCGCACCAGATTGACGGACTAGATTCAAATTCAAATTTAGGTGAGTAACCATTCTTCCAACAAAAAAAATATAAATTTATAAGAAGAAAAAAAACAAAAAAATGCACCAGGTGGGCAGACTTTTTCGCTGGTTAACGAACAGCACTGACGGTGGGCAGAGTTTTTCACTGGTCGTCGATGGTCACCTAGGTCGGTAGTGTCAGCACTGGTCGACCTCGGTGGTGGTCGCTCTCGCCTATTCTTCTTCGACTAGTTCCTCTCTCTCTCATCTCCTCTCTTTTCTTCTATTTATCGCGTGTGGTGTCACTTGACCAATGTTGTTGCAACTGAGCCAAACATTCAAAACTCACCTTTTTCAAATTCGGGCGATTCGGGGGCTCTTTTTGAGCTACATAGCGGTTCTTTCAAGCTACGTAGCGGAGTTGTATATATATACATATATATTAATAACGTGTATTTATTTATTTATTATTATTATTATTATTATTCTTTTTAAATTTCAATCTATCCTATATGCCAATTTACCAAATGATAAAAAAAATTTAAAACCCACACACAGAAAGTTAATTCCCAATCAAGTTATTAAAATCGGGATCTTACATTGTATCGGTAAAGGTGTTTACAGAATTGGATCGTAGAATCGGATCGAGCATCGTAAGATCCTATCGAAAAAAATAAATTACGTAATAATTTAATTAACATTAACATTCTTAAAAAGTATATACAAAATATGCATATATTCTATTTTTAAAAAAATGAAGATATTGTGAAAAATATAACACTCCATGTAAAATGTACATATAATGCATAAAAAAGAAGGTGAAGAAAAAGAATTTTATAATAAAATACTTTACAATCTACAATAAATGCATAAAAAGTGAAGAAAAAATATTTAACAAAATTGGATATAAAAATAAATTAACAACTCAAAAGAATGACTTAACCAAATGATAAGGTTTGTCATTAGTATCTCTAGTGGAGTGAATTTGAGTCACAAAAATAGTCTCTCTAAAAATTAGGGTAAAGTTGCAATCATCTTACCCTCCTTAGACTCCGATAAAGCTAAGTTTGTTTTTCCTATTAGTTAATTTTCTTATATTCACGCAATATTTAAATGTTTATTTCCTAGTTTGTTTCTCTTAATTTATTTGATTCAATACTTCGTAATTTTTATCATTTATTTTGACCATATAAATTGGTATTTAGACAATAAATATAAAATTTATAATAAAATATGTTATATAATACAAAATAAGGCATGTAAACTGGATCGAATTCGGATTGAGATTCCACAATTGTATAAGATCCCATTACCAATATCGAAAAATCATACATATAAGAAATTTTTTACACGATCCAGATTAATTGTACCCAAATAGATTGTAAGGTTGTAAAATCGTAAAATCCAGATTGAGATTTTGATAATCATGTTCCCAATTACCTTATGAATGTTGAAAAGAATATCAAAATTGAAAAATTTAGAAGGGATAAATATTATAATAATGAATAGTGAAGAAATTATTTTCGCTGATTTTATAAAAGTGAAAGGTTAATGTTCTTTGTTTATTAAATTATTACCAAGTGACCCCATTAAAGATAAACTCTGGTACACAGCTGAGTGGTCAACGCCCTCAGCGATACTCACGAGTCACGACGGTCTGTTTGATAGAATTTATAAAATTGTTATAATTTTTTGATTTAAAAAATTTGTGTTAGTGTAATTTTTACTTAAAACTTACGTGGTAGATAAAAATCAAATAAATTGAAAAAAATCTAATTATAGAAAAGTAGAGGAATGAGTATTTTTAGGAATTTTTATTGATAAATCTATTTTAGAGTTGTTATAACCCATTAGGTCCACAAAGGAATATAATAACCTGATTAGTCCTAGATACTTTTCTTTTTATTTCATAAAGTCCATTTTACTAATTTTATATTTTTACCTGGACTATTATGCCCATATATATATATATATATATATATATTGTGTTAATACATAACACACGTTCCCTGTTTTTTTGTTGATTCAGTTTTGGCAGTTTCTATCTTTACGTTTTTCATCATCATTCTAATTCAGATGGATACGTTTCTATTTTGCATGCTCGTTTCAAGGCTTTGATGTGCTAGGGTTTCATTGTTGCTGTTATAGTCTGGTTCGGTGATTTTCAAGTGAAGACGATGAATTTGAAGGTGTTCAGTTGTCATATTTTCTGGAGTATAACTACTTCAAATCAGTTGTTTTCAAGTTACTGGACGATTGTAGGATTGCATGATTAAGGTTAGTATCATTTTGGTTATGAATACATGTTCACTTTATGTTTTGATTTGTATGATGGATCAGATGCTCTGTTTTTTGATTGATATGGATCGGATGCTCTGTTTTTTCAATTATATGCATCATACGTGGTCCTGTGGAGGGGAGGTCATTCAGATTATGTGAAGAATGTGTAATTCTCATTTTATTTTGATGTATCCATAATGAGGCTCTGTGTGGGTGATATAATTCAGAGTATATGTATCAATGAGAATGTTAACATCTTGTTAATATTATGTGAAGAATGTGGATGTTCTCATTTTACTTTGATGTTTGCTTAATGAGGCTCTGTGTGGGTGATATAATTCAGAGTATATGGATCAATGTGAATGTTTACATCGTGGTCCTGTAGAGGGGAGGTCATCAGATTAGTGAAGAATGTGGATGTTCTATAATTCCGAGTATATGGATCAATGTGAATGTTTACATCGTGTTAATATTATGTGAAGAATGTGGATGTTCTCATTTTACTTTGATGTTTGCTTAATGAGGCTCTGTGTGGGTGATATAATACAGAGTATATGTATCAATGTAAATGTTTACATCTTGTTAATATTATGTGAAGAATGTGGATGTTCTCACTTTACTTTGATGTTTGCTTAATAAGGCTCTGCGTGGGTGATATAATACAGAGTATATGTATCAATGTAAATGTTTACATCTTGTTAATATTATGTGAAGAATGTGGATGTTCTCACTTTACTTTGATGTTTGCGTAATGAGGCTCTGTGTGGGTGATATAATTCAGAGTATATGTATAAATGTGAATATTCACATCTTGTTAATGTGAATTATGGATTTAAAACTTGAACTGTACACGTAGTCATCTAATTTTTGTACAATGTGAATTTTCATATCGTTTTGGATTATTGTTGATTGTTGTATTGTTGTGTTTTTACAGGAGATGAATACCTTTATGATGTTGGTGTGTACATATGGTTGCAGTACAACTGTAATAAATGTTGCCCGCACATTGTGTTATTCGCATTTGGTGGACTATTTGTGTGAAAAATGGGGTGAGTTGTCTGCTGGTTCTATTTCATTGTTCTGTCGGTTACCTGGGATTAATAGGTGTGATTTGGACAATGAGGAAGAATTTCAAAACATGTTACTGCTTGCTAAATCAATAGGGGTACAACATGTAGAAGTTGTAGTTGAGTGGAAAAGTGATATTAGTCAGTCAAGTAGCTTGGGGATCGCTGCGTATGGGGGTTGAGGAAGAAATTGATGCACCACGGAGATTTTGCCACCATAAGAACAATGTGTTGTTGTTAGCCCCTTGGGCAAATAGTATTATGCATGTGGGACAATGGTTTGTTAGAGGGGCACAAGAATTTCGTGATGTTTTATGTAAGTATGCCATCCAATGTGGGTTTCAGTTTACGTATGTCAAGAACGAAACAACAAGAGTTACAACTGTGTGGGCGATGCATGAGGAGAGAGGCTGCTTATAGGCTATACATTGTAGAGCACAACGAGCAAATGATTTTTTCTACATCAAGAGGTTTAGTGATGTGCATAGTTGTGGTACGGATGTTCGAACATCGAAGAATCCGCGAGTTAGTTCAGATTTGGTGTTGAGTACCATATCTGAAATTGTGAGGGACAAGCCGTTGACTCGGCTGTATGAGGTGGTGACTATTTTGAAGAGGGATTATAGGTTAGATGTGAGTTACCATGTGGTATGGTTGGGCGTGGAGAAAGCAAAGGCTGTTATTCACGGAGATCACTCATTATCGTTTGACCAGCTGCGGTGGTATTCGGATGCTGTGATGCGTTATAATCCGGGGAGTTATGTTAATATTGACTATGATGCGAGAAGTCAACAGTTTTGTCGTTTCTTTGTGTCATTCGCTGCGTGTATTTCTGGGTTCAATTATTGTCAGACTTTATTATTCCTAGATGGAACATTCCTCAAAGGAAAGTACAAAGGTTAGCTACTTGCGGCAACAGCGATAGATGGAAACAATGGTTAGTATTTTTTTTAGCTATCTATTCATGTCAATATTTACATTGAGCAACATAGTCTGGACATATGACAGACGATTACACAGTGTGTTCCACATTTACACTGGTGTCAATGTTTACATCAATACACATTG